ACCCATTGTCTTCATCCAGGAAGACGCCGAAGGAGTTCATTACCCCCACTGCGATGCGCTGGTGGTGAGGGCTGTCATAGCCCGAAATGGGCTCAAACGAATGCTAGTCGACAACGGCAGCTCCGTCAACATCTTATTCGGGTCCGCCTTTGACAAGATGATATTGGACCATCAGTTGACGCCCACCACCACTCCATTGTATGGATTTACTGGAGATAGCATCACTCCGAGAGGAAAGATAACACTGGCAGTGGAGATGGGAGAATTTCCTCAAACTACAATGAACTTTATGGAATTCTTCGTAGTTGACAGCCGGTCGGCTTACCACGGAGTCTTGGGCAGATCGGCCCTAAAGGAATTGGGAGCAGTCACCTCCATCCACCACCTATGCATGAAATTCCCAACAGAAAATGGGGTGGCAACGGTGAGAGACGACCAGAGAGGTTCGTGAGAGTGCTATCTGAGCTCCATTAAGAAAGTAGAGCCCCGGGACGTCCACGTGATCATGGCTGATGTGGTCATGGTGGATGTCCCAGGTGACGCTCCCACTGACCAAGAAGACGTTGATATGATTGACGCACCGCTGAACTAGGAGGTGCTGATCGTTGATGAGATCAACCCCCGCATAATGGAACATGAGCCTCAAGCATCCCCCGTAGAGGAACTTGAGAGCTTCTCAGCCGACCCCCAAGATCCGGCCAAGGTATTGAAAGTAGGCAGAGGCCTATCCAACCTTTTGAGAGAAAAGATTAAGGATTTCCTAAGCAAAAACCTTGACTTCTTTGCTTGGAGGCATGAGGACATGGTGGGCATAGACCCCAAGATCAGCTGCCACTACTTGAAAATTGATCCTAATGTTGCCCCGCATAGACAAAAAAGGAGAGCCCTCAACCCCGAGAGGTATGAGGCCCTAAAGGAAGAGGTTCAGAAGCTCATCCAAAATGGCTTCATCAGGGAGGCCACCTACCCGAGGTGGGTCTCCAACCCGGTATTGGTTAAGAAACACAATGGTAAATGGAGGGTATGCATCGACTTTACTAACCTTAATAGAGCTTGCCCGAAAGACAGCTTTCCGCTTCCAAGGATTGACCAATTGGTGGACTCCACGGCTGGGCACGAGTTGTTGAGCTTCATGGATGCATACTCCGGCTACAACCAGATCCCCATGCACCCGGTCGATGAAGAGCACACCTCTTTTATCACGGACCGAGGCCTCTATTGCTCTAGAATGATGCCCTTCGGGTTGAAAAACGCCGGAGCAACCTACCAAAGACTCGTGAACAAAATATTTACCGACCTCATTGGCAAGACAATGGAGGTCTACGTGGATGACATGCTGGTGAAGAGCTTAGAGGCAAAAAACCACGTAGCGCACCTCAACAACACCTTCCAAATCCTGAGAAGGTACATGATGAGGCTCAACCCCTTGAAATGTGCCTTTGGGGTGGCTTCCGACAAGTTCTTGGGGTACATGGTCAACCAGCGAGGAATTGAAGCAAATCCCGAGAAGATTGAAGCTCTTTGCTAGATGAGGTCCCCTCAAAAGCCAAAGGAGGTGCAAAGCTTAACTGGACGAGTGACAGCACTTAGTCGCTTCGTCTCCAAAGCAACTGACAAGTGCCTCCCATTTTTCAAAGTGCTCAAGGCTGGGAAGAAATTCCAATGGACCGAGGAATGCGAAGAGGCCTTCCAAGGACTGAAAATGCATTTGGGGCGGGCCCCCTCCTCTCCAAGCCGAAGCCTGGCGACATCTTGCAACTATATCTTGTCGTCTCCAATGACGCCATCAGTTCGGTTCTGATACGAGAAGAAGGGTCCACCCAACTTCCTATCTGAAACAATGGTGATGAGCATCATCCCATCCTTTGAAAAGTTCGAGTTAACCCAGATTTTCCGCAATCGAAAATGCTCATGCGGATGCACTCTTGAAGCTGGCTAGTAGCAAAGACTTAGAGCTACTCACTGTAGTGCCTATCGAGCACCTCCTACTGCCTTCTACCGAGGCCCCTAATGTCATGTGGGTCGGTGGAACTCCCACCTGGATGCAACCAATTATAGCATATTTGAAAGACCAGGTGCTACCCACCAATAAGAATGAGGCTTACAAGCTGAGAAAGAGGTCAGCCCATTTCCTCTTCATCGATGACATTCTCTACAAAAGAAGTTTCTCCTCTCCACTCTTACGATGCGTCGGAGGAGAAGAGGCTACCTACATACTAAGAGAAGTCCACGAGGAAGTGTGTGGCAACCACTCTGGAGGCCTATCTCTGGCACAAAAAATATTGAGGCAAGGATACTACTGGCCTACCTTGAAACGGGATGCCCTCGAATTTGTGCGAAAATGTGATAAGTGCCAACAATTCTCTCCCGTTCAAAGACGACCATCACAGGATTTGACTGCAGTCTCCAGCCCCTGGCCTTTCTCAAAATGGGGTGTGAACGTCATAGGCCCTCTACCAAAGGGTAGAGGAGGCGCAGGTTTTGCAATAGTGGCCATTGATTACTTCACAAAGTGGGTCGACGCTGAACCACTGGCAAAAATCACAGAAGCAAACACCTCCAAGTTCCTACGGAAGAATATCATTTGCCGGTTCAGAATTCCCTACTCGATCGTCTCAGACAATGGCAGGCAATTCGATAACAAGTTGGCATAAAGAAGCACTTCTCTACACCTCACCACCCACAAGCTAATGGCCAAGTTGAAGTCGTAAACAAGACAATCAAGCACGTCCTAAAAAGGAGGCTTGATGTGTCCAAGGGAGCTTGGGTTGATGAGCTGCCCCAAGTACTTTGGGCAATCCGAACCACCACAGGACCCCAACCGGGGAGACCCCTTTCCTCATGGCTTTTGGGACTGAGGCGATGAGCCCCGTGGAGGTCGGACTCCCATCTCCACGGCGTCTACACTTCAGCGAAGTGACCAACGACGAGCTCCGGAGGCTAGACCTTGATTTCATTGAGGAGAGGAGGGACGACTCCCAGCTGAGGCTAGGCACCTACCAAAGAAAGATGACAAGGTACTTCAACTCCAAAGTCAAGAAGAAGTCTTTCCGAATCAACGATCTTGTGCTCAGGAGGGTCTTCCCATCTTCAAAAGAACCTGGTTCCGGCTCCCTGGGGCCGAACTGGGAAGACATGGATTGAAGACATGGACGGCAAGGCACAACCCTATCCATGGAACATTGAACACCTCAGAATCTTTTATCAATGAATTGTATCATGCTGGATGACTTTCCCAGCCTTTGTAATATTTCTATGGCTCAATAAAATGCGTTGATTAAATCGTCATAATGCGTCATCACCTCGGAGGAGAGGCTCGGGACCCACCTCTGGGCCACCTCGCTTGAACTCCGAGGTGCGAGCACATGCCTCCCTTTGGCCTTGCTGAACGCCAAGGGAAGAAGCCTCAACATGGCTGCACCATCTACCATGTCTGGGATGCGTCGTCACCTCGGAGGAGAGGTTCGGGACCCACCTTTGGGCCACCTCGCTTGAACTTCGAGGCGTTAGCACATGCCTCCCTTTGGCCTTGCTGAACGCCAAGGGGAGAAGCCACAACCCTAAGTCCGAGGTTCACACAGTTCATCTCCTTAAGTCATGTTAATCTGCTTAAGTCCGAGTTTCACACAGTTCATCTCCTTAAGTCATGTTAATCTGCTTAAGTCCGAGGTTTACATTGTTCATCTCCTTAAGTCATGTTAATCTGCTTAAGTCCGAGGTTCACACTGCTCATCTCCTTAAGTCATGTTAATCTGCTTAAGTCCGAGGTTCACACTGTCCATCTCCTTAAGTCATGGTAATTTGCTTAAGTCCGAGGTTCACACTGTTCATCTCCTTAAGTCATGGTAATTTGCTTAAGTCAGAGGTTCGTACAGTTCATCTCCTTAAGTCGTGTTAATTTGCTTAAGTCCGAGGTTCGTACAGTTCATCTCCTTAAGTCGTGTTATTTGCTTAAGCCCGAGGTTCGTACAGCTCAGTCACTCAAGTTATGCTCATTTATTTAATTCACGCTTCTATCAAGTTCCAGTAAATTTGTTTAAACGAGGTATCATGCTGGATGACTTTCCCAGCCTTTGTAATATTTCTATGGCTCAATAAAATGCGTTGATTAAATCGTCATAATGCGTCGTCACCTCGGAGGAGAGGCTCGGGACCCACCTCTGGGCCACCTCGCTTGAACTCGGAGGCGTGAGCACATGCCTCCCTTTGGCCTTGCTGAACGCCAAGGGGAGAAGCCTCAACATGGCTGCACCATCTACCATGTCTGGGATGCGTCGTCACCTCGGAGGAGAGGTTCGGGACCCACCTTTGGGCCACCTCGCTTGAATTTCGAGGCGTTAGCACATGCCTCCCTTTGGCCTTGCTGAACGCCAAGGGGAGAAGCCACAACCCTAAGTCCGAGGTTCACACAGTTCATCTCCTTAAGTCATGTTAATCTGCTTAAGTCCGAGTTTCACACAGTTCATCTCCTTAAGTCATGTTAATCTGCTTAAGTCCGAGGTTTACATTGTTCATCTCCTTAAGTCATGTTAATCTGCTTAAGTCCGAGGTTCACACTGCTCATCTCCTTAAGTCATGTTAATCTGCTTAAGTCCGAGGTTCACACTGTCCATCTCCTTAAGTCATGGTAATTTGCTTAAGTCCGAGGTTCACACTGTTCATCTCCTTAAGTCATGGTAATTTGCTTAAGTCTGAGGTTCGTACAGTTCATCTCTTTAAGTCGTGTTAATTTGCTTAAGTCCGAGGTTCGTACAGTTCATCTCCTTAAGTCGTGTTATTTGCTTAAGCCCGAGGTTCGTATAGCTCAGTCACTCAAGTTATGCTCATTTATTTAATTCACGCTTCTATCAAGTTCCAGTAAATTTGTTTAAACGAGGTATAAAAACTTGGACAAAAAGCAACACTGAAAGAAGAAAGGCATTGTATTGATATTTCAAAGCATGATTACAAAGGAGGGCCTCTGGCCAATACATCCAAACTACTGAAAAATAAAATCTAGTCTATGCCTGGCTAGATGGCGTAGGAGCCTCGGCACTGGGGCCTCCAGCAACTTGGGCATCAGTAGTTGTTTTCTCTGCCTCAGCACCAGGGGCCTCGGCATCAACTTCTTCCTCACCCTGGACCTCCTCAGCTGGGGTCTGAGGTACCTCATCCACAAATTCGGACCTAAGTTGTGCCAGGTCCAAGTTGGGATAAAGCTCCTCTGCCCTCTCCAGCACTTTGGCATAGGCGAAGTTCCTCCAGTATGCCCTGAAGCTTTTATACTCCTCTGTAGTGTGGAAATTGGCGATATATGCCTTCACCGCCTCTTCCGCTGCAGTTCGGGCCTCTTCTCTGGCAACTGAGGCGTCGTTCATGTACCACTTCGCCTGGCCTTCGAGAAACTGATAGGCATCTCAAGCACCGGCCAAGAAGAGATTCGCCTACTCAAGAGCCTCAACAGTCACCTTTTGGTGCTCATTGGAGACCTCCACCTTCTTTGTCAAGGAGGCCACCTCGCACTGTGACTCATATATTTCCCTCTTTAGGGCCTCAATTTGGGCCAAAGCAGACTCGAGCTTCGTCGCTTCTTCAACCCTCTGTGCTTTGGCTTCTTCAGCCTCGGCCTTAGCAGCTTTAACCTCCTCGACAAGGAAGGCAGCCTTCCCCTCTGAGGCGTGAGTCCTTGTCTGGAATTCACTTAATGCCTCCCTGCATTCGAGCGCGAGGCCAAAGGTCCGGGCGCTTTGGCTCACCACTGCCCTTGTGAGGTTGGTGGCATCACAAGACGAGGCATGAATCTGCCACCTCTCTGTCCAGAACTTGTAAAAGCTCTCGGTGGCACTTTTAATTTCCTCAGGGAGAGCCTCCACCAAGGCTGGGGCCAGCTCCTCCTCCCTCCCAGCTAGGAAGTTTGGAGACTTCCCCTTCTCCCGAACCGGCTTCTCCTTCGTCGCCTCCTCTTCGGCGACTTCTGCAGCTCGCCTTGCAGCCTCTTCTCTGGCCTCTTCAGCCTCCACCTCTCTTACCATCTCCATTTTGATGGCCTTAGAGGCTGCAGCAAGAAGCTTCGGCTCTCCAGTCTGTTCAGCCCTATGGGACACTGAAGTCCCAAACTTGCCAGCTGAGCTGGAGATGTGCACCAGCTTCCTCTTCTTAGTCTCCTCAGAGACTTTCTTCTTGCCCCGAGGCTCCTTAGGCTTCTCTGGCCTCTGAGTAGATGCCTCCTCCGAGGCCCTGGGAGTGCAGTCCTTCGACAGGCGCTCAACCCTGCCCCGGACTTCCTTTGCTCCACTGGACCCAGGCTTCAGGGGCCTCGCCTTCGCAGTAGAAGTGACCTTCAAGATGGAGGCCATGTCCAGAGCTGGGTACTCCCTCTTCTTGAATTTGTCTGCACATAGCATCAGCATAAGAAACATTCAGGATAAAAACATCAAGTGTTGGGGCCCCATACCTCTGGATGCCATCGGCTCGAAGTCCAAGAAGTATCTGCTTCTATCAATCAGGTGATCGAAGTGCCGAAGCTTCAGAGGCCTCTTGTAAATGTCCTCTATCACCTTGAATTCTTCCCTGCTGAGCTCGAACCTCGTACTACTATCTGCAAAGACGAACCTCCAACAGTTAGACGAGTAAATATTCTGATTTCAAAACACAAGCAGAGGTCGGGAGACTCACGAGCTTCGTAGTACTGGGTCGGCACTGTGCATGACAGGGCTTTGTCACCCTCCACTGCCTACCATTTACCTCGCACCCAGAACCAGGACTCCTTCCACCCCTTGATAGAGGAAGGAAGTCCCACCACAAAGGGTGCGTGAGCTCCCTAAGGCGTGAGGTAGTACCACTCCCTTGACTCCTTCCCAATTACCCGGGGCTGGAACAGAGTCATGAAGGGGCATGTCCTCCCCAAGTGACACTTCCTTCCACAGGAAGTACGAGCCGACCAGCTGGCTCCACCCATTCGGCAGAACCTGGGTCGGCGACAGCATGAATTTCCTAAGCACCGCCCTAAAGAAGGGGTGCAAAGGAAGACGCATACCTGCTTTGAACATGTATTCACTCACGGCCACGCAGCCGGGCCTCGGATAGCAGGCCCGCTCGTTTGGTTCGGGGACTAACATCTCTATGTTATGAGGCACACTGTACCTTTCCCTAAGTTCCCCCAACCTCTTCTCCGTCATGTTCGAGGGCACTCTAGAAGCCCCCCACTCCTGGGTATAATCCACAGCCTCCTCGGCCATGGCGTACCTATCCACCTCGGACGTCCCCCCATGACCTACCTCATGATCTAAAGACGCCACTGTAACAAGCTCCCTACCCGAAGTGGACTCCATTTTTTCAGAACAAAGACAATAACAACGGTTTTTTATGCAAACAATACCTAAAAGAGTTCAACACAAACGGAGACTGGTCGGAATCTAATCGCAGACAACCTCGACGCCGGAAAATGGAAGATTTGAGAGAATTTGAGAATGCAAAGTGTTCAAAAATCTTGGAAATTGGGATTTTCTTGCCTTTTATAAAGGTCCAAGACGAACCCCACCCGTCAGATCAAATCTCAGTCAATCCGAGCCCTCCATTTCAGATCCAATCCGAGGCGTTAAATTCAAATAGTTTTTTAAATCCTACGCCTCCGATCTATGCGTGCCTCCCACGTACCTCTCTAACGCGTCTGCTTCTAGAAACGCCAGCTGCCCTCATAATTGCATTTTAATTCGACGGAGCCACCGCCTTGGAAGTCGTAATGGTTTAGCTACCTTTCCTCGAAAACAAGCATAAAACATCAAATCATTGGCACAGCGACCAACGCACAATCATTACCATTGGACCTCGGCTTCCTCTTCGCCATTCAGCGTTCAAGCCTCGTAGGTTCGGTTTTCTCAACCACCTCGGCTTCCTCTTCTGCATTCAGCGTTCAAGCCTCGCAGGTTTGGTTTCTTCAACCACCTCGGCTTCCTCCTCGCCATTCATCATTCAAGCCTCACAGGTTCGGTTTCCTCAACCACCTCGGCTTCCTCTTCGCCATTCAGCGTTCAAGCCTCGCAGGTTCGGTTCCTCAACCACCTTGGCTTCCTCCTCGCCATTCATCATTCAAGCCTCGCAGGTTCGGTTTCTTCAACCACCTCGGCATCCTCCTCGCCATTCATCATTCAAGCCTCACAGGCTCGGTTTATTCAACTAACTCGGCTTCTTCATCATTCACCCAAGCAACACTTCTCAAACTCCAACCATGATATAAATATCTATGCTTGGACTTGGGGGACTATTATTTGGGGTTCTAAAATTCTTTCAACTTACTCCATCAAAGTCCACGCATTACATTAATGATTATACTTGAACTTGGGGGACTATTGTTGCGTGTTGTAACACCTGTCCTACCCACCTGGACCAATGGCCCACTCATCCTAATTCATGTGGCATTCCTGCCGAGGTGGCACACATTGTTGAGGTGGGTTATATCTGAAGTGCTTCAAGCCGAGGCCCATAACCCGAGGCATGGAACCTGTTGGACGTAGCTAAGGTCCTCAAGTGGAAGTATTTATCAAATGGGCGAAACCCCAAAGTCGATGCACGAGCCTCTTAACCATAAGGAAACATCCTCCATGGTCACTTTTCCCCAGAGATCGCCTGCACAGATCTTATTCGAATGATTGATGGAACGTTTGTCATAACCATAAAGGTTAAGTCTTGTCACTAGTAAAAAGGACCCGCGCAAGCAATAAATGCACCGTAAGCTAGCAAGTCAAGTCCCATGCCTAAGAACAGACGTTTGAACTAAGGAGATGAGGCCACGTGCCACTTCATCCAAGGGCTCCCATTTCATATGTATCACTATAAATACTTCCATTGTGGAATGTCAAAGGCTAATGCAAGACTCAATACTAAAAACCACATTTGCTCAACTCTCTTTCAGTTGCTTGCAATACACAAATCAAGTTTACAAACTTTCACTTATACATTTACAAGCACCGGTTGGTAATTATTGTACAATCGGATTATGAACAACCCGTTGGATTCCAAACGTCACCGTCCCGCGTCGTTGGGCTACTCCCACGCCCCTTTAAACCGTTCATTTTAGACCTAGCGTGTTGGACATTCGCCCACGCAAGCGCGGGTGGGACCGACATCTGTTGGCGCACTTTTTGGGGTCAACAGCAGCGATGCATTTAGGAAGGTGGTGAGGCCAGTCCACCCTCTTACTCGGCAATCCCACCATTGCAGCGATGCATTTAGGAAGGAGGTGTGAGGCTAATCCACTCTCTTACTCAGCGATCAACCGGGAGATTAGCTTACTTTTTATTGTAGTTTGTAGAGCATCCATTATTTGTATTTTCGCATCTTTGTAATGAACGTTTGATAATAAATGACTTTATTTGAACGTATTTCGCTCTGACCTTGTTATCCTTAATCGTTCAACATATTTTGATTATACTTTTATCTGTTTACATTCCCATAAAGAAGGAACATATTTTTTCAAATATTTTCCGTTAATGAATCTCACGTGCTTGGTGCCATCTAAATCTTCCAGGTGATACGCTCCATTGGGCAATACACTGTTTATATTGTATGGTCCTTCCCAATTGGACGACCACTTCCCGTACTTTGGATCCTTGCTATCCAAAGGGAGTATCGTCTTCCAAACTAGTTCACCCAGGCTGAACGACTTGGCTATGACTTTTTTATTATAAAACCTGGCAATTCTTTGCTTTTGAACTTGCAATCTATCTAAGACGTCTAACTTTAATTCGTCTAACCCCAATAAATTTTGAACTAGTGATTCGACATACTCATCATCATTCAACTTATGTTGCAAGCACACTCTAATCGATTGCACGTTGATTTCCATAGGTAAAACGGCCTCCTGTCCATAAACAAGTTGGAAAGAAGTAACTTTGGTACTTGACCGAGGTGATGTTTTATAAGCCCATAAGGCCTTGTTCAGACATTCGTGCCAATTTCTGACATTTTCATCTACCATCTTTCTGATGATATTTTTTAGAATCTTATTGGAAGATTCCGCTTGTCCGTTGGATTGAGCGTAGTATGGTGTGGAGTTTACTAATTTAACCCCAAACTCGCTCAAAAATTTGTTCACTTGATCCCCATTCAAAGATGTTCCGTGATTTACCATTAACGTTTGTGAAATTCCAAACCTATAAATGATGTGATCACGGATAAACTCTATAACATTCTTCTGAGTGATCTCTTTCAAAGGTACTGCCTCTACCCATTTGGTGAAATAGTCGGTTGCAACTATAACAAAAGTATGTTGCTTGGACGATGGTGGATAAATCTTCCCTATCAAGTATATCGCCCAACCCTTGAACGGCCAAGGTTTAATAATAGGTGCCATCTCTCGTGCTGGCGCCCTTTGTATTGGACCATGCTTTTGGCGTGCTAAACAATTCTTTGCATACTGAATACATAATTCTCCCATCTTTGACCAAAAATATCCACTCCTAATAATTAACCATCTCATCCTTTGGCCAGCTTGATGAGCTCCACATATCCCTTCGTGCACCTCAGCCATGATCGTCTTGGTTTCTTGCAAACTTACACACTTTAGTAATACACCATCAGAGCGTTTCTTAAACAACTCTTCATCTATTAGTGTATAGTTCAGCAGACACAGCTTCATTTTCCTACTAATCCTTCCATTAGGTTCCTTAAGGAACCTTTTAATATCTGTTCTCCAATCCATTGCATCTCCATCTTGTATGCAGTGAAGTTCAATCTTTCTCACCCTTCTTTGAGTCACGGGCAATATGATTCCATACTCACAAGTAGACTTCCAATTCAAAACCTTTGAGTATCCTGAGGCCATTTGGGCTAACTCATTTGCCACGTCATTAGATATCCTATTAACGCATTGAAGTTCTACTTGGTCGAATTCTTCCAACAATTCTTGGGCGATCTCATATTGACTTATAATGGAATCACTTTGGCATTTAAAATCACCAATCAATTGGTGGATTACCAATTGAGAATCGCCCCTAACGATCACATTTCTTACTCCCATATCTATCATTAGTTCTAGGCCTACAATTAAAGCTTCATATTCGGCCTGATTATTGGTGCACATTCTGTCTAAAGTGAATGCGAACTTATAACAAATCCCTAAAGGATTAATTAATGTTACTCCTACTCCTACACCTTTAGAGGTTTTTGACCCATCGAAATACAACACCCAAGGTTTTAACTCGAACGAATTGATTTCTAGTTCAATTTCTTTAGGCATGTCAAGGCATGGATGATCGGCTAGAAAATTAGCCAAAGCCTGATTTTTTACTGTCTTTTGAGGTATATATTGTATCTCGAATTCTGATAAAGCTAGTGTCCAAAGGCCTACTATTTGGTGTAAAATAAGGCTCGAGAACATATACTTAACTAAATTTACTTTAGAAATTAAATAAATGGTTACGGGCCATAAATAAACCCTTAATTTCGTACATGTGAAATACAATGCAAAACATAATTTTTCGATAGCAGAGTAATTACATTCATATTTCGTTAACCGTCTACTTAAGTAGTAAATTGCCCTTTCTTCACCAAATTGGTCTTCCTGTGCGACTGTTCACGAAATATTTTCTTTTCGATTTTAAAACCCACCGCAAGTGTACGGTTCGTTAACAAGTAGTAAAGTGGACTATGAGTCCAAGTATCGTTCCCACAAGGATTAAATTAGTTCTAATTAAACTAATGTGACCTTAACCGAATCTAATTGAATGAAAATTTGGTTTAAATGTGAAAAACCCTAATTTTGGGGGAATTTCAAAATTGGAAACCCTAATTTTGAAATTTCACTAATCTAATGAAATAAACACGCAACTGAAATGTAAATATGCAATTTTAGAACTAATGTATTGAAATGAATTGAAATGAAATCATTAAGAATTTGAATCCCCAATTGACTATTAAAAACCCTAATTTCACAAATTCAACGAATCGATGAACAAAATGTCAATTCAATGTTCCTAAATTATCCAATACACTCTCTCGATATATATTGAATCTACTCTTACACACCACCAGCCTATATTTCTATGGATGATGCAATGTACAAGAATGCATGACTTTTTATGAACATTTTTATGAATTGCATAAGGCATAGAGGTAAGTTTCCATCCCCTATCGGACCCTATGTCGATTTATATTCTATCGAATTTATTCCCCTTCTTTCGAATGCAAAGAATAAATCATCTACAATCACATAATAATTGGCCAAATAATTATGGAAGCATTAAAATCATATAAATCAAACATTCGTCCAATCGAAACTAATGTTGAATTATTGAAATAACGGAAATTTAAATCATCAAAAGGTTCATCAAAT